TCTTTTTCTTTTTCTTCTTCTTTTTCTTCTCCTTCCTTTTCTTCTTCTCCCTCTTCCTCTTCCTCTCCCGCCGCTTTTAAATTTGAACTTGTCTGCACCCGTTCTCCAAAACCGCTAGTCAGATTAACTTAGGATTCCACAATATGTTAGACTAACATGTCTAGATGTGCAATCAGGGTTTTGTTTGTGCAATGGGATTTTTTTTTTTTTTTTTTTTTCCAATGATTATAACTTGAAAACTGTTAGTGAAAGACACAATCTTTTTAATTGAAAATATTCTACATTATAAAGCACATCAAATGAAATAAAGGGTTAGTTCCCAGGGGTCACCCCCAACCCCTGTCTTTTGAGAAAGTTCTAATATCATGTAAGTGGTCAAGATCCCCACCCTAAACCATATATATTCTGGTTTGTCATGATAAAGCATATCAAATGAAATAAAAGGTGAGTCCCAGGAGTCACTCCCACCCTCTGCCATTTGAGAAAGTTCTCATATCTTGTAAATGGTGAAGATCCCCACCCCTAAACCATATATGTTCTGGTTTGTTATGGAAATATAATTTAAATGATATACAGGTTCAGTCACCAGGGGTCATTCCCATCCCCTGTCATTTGAATATGTTCAAATATCTTGTAAGTGGTCGAGATCCCCACCCTTAAGTCAAATATTTTCTGGTTTGACATGAAAAGATACATCAAATGAAATATAAAAGAAGTCCCAAGGGGTCATCCCCTCTCCTGTCATATGAGAATGTTCTTATACCTTGTGAATGGATAAGATCTGCAGCCCAAAACAAGCATTTTTCTAGTTTCAGGACAATAACTTTGTATAAGTATTTTGATTGCTCTGAAATTGTACCACAAGGTTCAATACCACAAGTAGAAGGTAGGGAATCATTTTGGGGGCAAAGCATATAATTTCTGCAAGATGAATTGAATGAATAATAGGGAGAGTCTTTAAGGGTTTATACTTGAGGGGACTTTGTTTGGGAAACTTTGTAACAGCATCCTGTTACAATCATTTCTTGTTTGATTTAAATTATTCCATATTCTGACAGTAGATGGTACGAATGACTAGTCTACATCTTAGGGGTTTATAGTTATCATTATCTCTTATGTTGTATCGACTGACATCAGATATAACTGGAGGTAGGCAGTCGATTAAATATTGGGGACAAGATTTATTATGCATTTGATAGAAAATTGTAAATTTTCGTTGTCTACGCCTTTCTACTAGAGTTTCCCAGGCCGTTTCAAAATGTAAGGATTCTAAACTTGAAAATTTTGTAAGCCCTGTTGCTATCCTTGCAGCTTCTAGTTGTATTTTTTATACGACAGCAAAAAATTTGTGTTCATTTATTGCTATCACGTCGACGTCGTCCGAAGACATTTGGTTTCCGGGCAATAACTTTAGTTTAAGTGTACGGATCTCTATGAAATTTAACCAAAAGGTTCACTACCACAAAAGGAAGGTTGTGATTGTTTTTGAAGGTGAAGGTCCCAACCGTTTAGGAATTAGGGGCCAAAAAGGGGCCCAAAACAAGCATTTTTCTAGTTTCAGGACAATAACTTTGTATAAGTATTTTGATTGCTCTGAAATTGTACCACAAGGTTCAATACCACAAGTAGAAGGTAGGGAATCATTTTGGGGGTAATTGCCCAAACCGTTCAGGAATTAGGGGCCAAAAAGGGGCCAAAACAAGCATTTTTCTAGTTTTCAGACAATAAGTGTATGGATGTCTCTTAAATTGTACCACATTTTACAAACAGAAAATTTCTTCAAATATAATTTTTTTGGAATAGGGGGGAGGGTGAATTCTTTTTTTTTGGGGGGGTCAATTTTTTTCCCTCAAGATTTAAGAAATTATCAATTTTCCATAAAAAAATTGGGGGTCACAATTTATTTTGCTAATTCTTTGTATAAAGTCTGAAAACAGCACAGTGTATTGCACAACAGCAAGAAATCTTCAATTGAATATAAATTCAAATCATATAACCAATTTCAAGTTCTTTGACTACATTTATTTTGTGTCAGAAACCTATAATGTGTCAAATATGTAATTACAATCCAAATTCAGACCTGTATCAAGCTTGAATATTGTGTCCATTTTTGCCCCAACTGTTCAGGGTTGGACCTCTGCGGTCGTATCCAGCTTCGCTTGGCGAAGCAGTTTATTTAAAAGAAGCCATAACTCTGGCAAGTTTCCATTTTGTTTGAAACTTACCACCTTGTAGTGATTTATTGAATAGAATCAATAGAGGTTGATTAAACAGAATCAGCGGTGCCTTTCAGCATTTGATGGCTAATTAAATCATTACCACATGCTTTGCCTATTTTATTTTTTTTTGTATATCTTTAATATCTTGCTCATTTATTACCATATCAGACAAAGTTCTGGGTGTTATAGTTGCTGTATCATGGTTAGTATCGTCAACAGATGAAATTGAGCAAAATTATTCGTTTAAAAGATTTGCTATGTCTTTATTATTGTATATACCATTTCGTTTTAATTACAATCAGATAGTGGTGGAATATTATAATTATTATTTGTTCTCTTTATAAGTTTTTTAATAAGAGACCAATAAGACTTTGAGTCGGTTTTCGATATAGAGTCGACAAGTTCATTGGCACTTAAGAAAAACTGCTCGCGGGCGTATTTTATCATATTATTAACTTTGTTTCGCTGAAATTTGTACTTAATAAGAGTATGGTTGGTTTTTATTTTTCCTAAACACAGAATGAAGACGATTCCGGATTCTGATTTCCGAATTAAACCAAGGTTTATCGTTAGGTTGGACAGTTGCCGGTATATGTTTCCGTATCATTTCAAGATAATTGTGTGTAAATCTTTCAGACATATCATCTACATCTGTAGTTGAATTCAGTAATACTCCACAATCGTAATTATTAATTTCTTCGTTTAATGATATGCAATCTGCATGTTTATATAACCATACATTTCTAGTATAGGACTTTTTGTTAAGGAATGGTATTTTAAGGTGTGCTAGTGTTGCATCATGATCACTGAGATCCCTATCTACCTGGATTACTTCTGCATCTATAAATATGTTAACATTAGAGATCAAAATTGGATGTAGAAGTGCCCCGGATCTGGTTGGTCATAACTGAATAATCTGATTAAGTCTGTGGTTGCATTCAGTAATAAGATTCACGTTAGAATCGCCAGTAATCACGACGTTGCTAGTAAAATTTAAGGCTTGTTCCATTGAATAATCAAAGTTATTCCAGAAGTCGGTTCCGTTTCCAGGTGGTCTATATACAGCACAAGTTAGTAGTTTGAAATTTGGAATTAAGACTTCAAACCATATTATTCGACTGCTCCAAATTCTAGATCTTGTTTTCGTTTTACACAAATATACTGAGATGCATATACAAGAACTCCACCCCAAAACAGCTCCGATCCTTCCTAAAGTTGTCACTTGAAAAGCCGTCCATAACTATATCAGAATTTGAAACATTATTATCTAAGTGACTTTCAGTTTTACAAATGAAAGATGATTTAGATGCTATATCTTTTATATGAGATATCATATTTCGAACACTTCTAGTGTTCAGATGAAAAATAGATCGTTCAAATTCATGAGGACCAGGATTGGGATGGATGGCGTTGTCAAGGCTAGCAGCAACATTAAGATAAACGTATAAACATATTAAAAGTAAAAGATGCGTTCATTACTTTTGCAATCTGTTATCATAATTATAACATATTTTTGATCAAAAGAAAAATATACTTTTTAAGTTCAGGATATGAAATTGAAAATATTTTGTACACTTTTTATACGACAGCAAAAAAATTTTGCGATCGTATATTGGTATGACGTTGGCGTCGTCGTCCGAAGACACATTGGTTTTCGCACAATAACTTTAGTTTAAGTGAATGGATCTCTATGAAATTTTACCATAAGGTTCAATACCACAAAAGGAAGGTTGGGATTGATTTTGGGGGTTATGGTCTTAACAGTTTAGGAATTAGGGGCCAAAAAGAGGCCCAAAAAGGCATTTTTCTAGTGTTCAGACAATAACTTGTGTTTAAGTGTATGGATCTCTCTGAAATTATACCCCAAGTTTCCATACCACAAAGGGATGGTTAGGATTGGCTTTGGGGGAGTTATGGCTCAAACCGTTTTGGAATTAGGGGCAAAAAAGGGAGAAAAACAAGGGTGTCCTGGTTAATGGACAAATGCTTTAGTACAAAACATAATGAAAGCAGTGTAAGGGAGGTAATCCAAATACAACGTTTTGATTACCTTCCTTACACTGCTTTTAAATTATGTTTAAAGAAATGCATATTTATAAAGGAAGACCAGTAAAAATATCTGCAAATGTTGCATCTTTTTTTTTTTTACAAAAAAATCCATATGAAAGATTTGACACCATATTTTAAATTCTATTATAAAAAATATTAAGTTAGCACTATGGTAAATTTAAATGGGTAATTATGGTTGCAAACTCCATTGGAAATTTGAATTGAGATTATGACCATATCTTGAGGGAAATAATTTTTTTGGGGGAAAAAAGGGGGGGTGGTAAAAAGAAATTGTGGGGGGTCAATTTTTTCTCATTTCAGATTTCAGAAATAAAAAAAAAAGTGTGTGTGTATGGGGGAGGGGGGAAGGGGGGGGGGGGTCAATTCGCAACAGCAAAGTGTATTGCACAAAAGCCAAAAATTGAATATAAATTCAAATCATATAACCAATTCTAAGTACTTTGACTACATTTATTTTGTGTCAGAAACCTTTTATGTGTCAAATATTTAATTAGAATCCAAATTCAGACCTGTATCAAGCGCGAATATTGCGTCCATTTTTGCCCCAACTGTTCAGGGTTGGACCTCTGCGGTCGTATCCAGCTGCCCTCAGCGAAGCAATTTATTTTTTTTTGCAAAAAAGGGTGGGGGGGGGTTCAATACGCAACAGCATAGTGTATTGCACAAAAGCAAAAAAAAAAAAATGGGTTAATTTTTATTTTTTTTTGGGGGGGGAGGGTCAATTCACACAGGCACAGTGTATTGCACAAAAGCAAAAAATTTAATATAAATTCAAATCATATAACCAATTCTAAGTTCTTTGACTACGGTTATTCTGTGTCAGAAACCTTTTATGTGTCAAATATTTAAATACAATCCAAATTCAGACCTGTATCAAGCGCGAATATTGCGTCCATTTTTGGCCCAACTGTTCAGGGTTGGACCTCTGCAGTCGTATCCAGCTGCGCTCGGCGAAGCAATTTATTTTTTTTTTGCAAAAAAAAGGGGGGGGGGTTCAATACACAACAGCATAGTGTATTGCACAAAAGCAAAAAAATAAAAATGGGTTAATTTTTATTTATTTTTTTTGGGGGGGTGGGGGGTTAATTCGCACAGGCACAGTGTATTGCACAAAAGCAAAAAATTGAATATAAATTCAAATCATATAACCAATTCTAAGTTCTTTGACTACAGTTATTCTGTGTCAGAAACCTATTATGTGTCAAATATTTAATTACAATCCAAATTCAGACCTGTATCAAGCGCGAATATTGTGTCCATTTTTGCCCCAACTGTTCAGGGTTGGACCTCTGCGGTCGTATCCAGCTGCGCCCGGCGAAGCAATTTATTAAAAATTGACATATCTATCTACACACATGACGTTACTAATTATACGACCGCAAAATTTTTGCGTTCGTATTGTGTTATGGCTATGTCTGCGTCCGAGTCTAAAGACATTTTGGTACGCAGACAATAACTTGAGTATTAGTGTATGGATCTCTATGAAATTTTGGCACAATGTTCCATACCACTAAAGGATGGTTGGAATTGTTTTTGGGGGTTATTGTCTTAGCTGTTTTGTAATTAGGGGCCAGAAAGGGGCCAAAAACAATTATTTGTCTGGTTTTAAGACAATAACTTGAGTATAAGTGTATATATCTCTATTAAATCTAGACTCAAGGTTCCACACCACAATAGGAAGGTCGGGATTAATTTTGGGGGTTATTGCTATAGCTGTTTAGGAATTAAAAGCAAAAAAGGGACCAACAAAAACAGTTATTTTTCTGGTTCACAAACAATAACATGAGTATAAGTGTATGGATCTCTGTTAAATTCTAGCACAAGGTTCCATACCACAAAAGGAAGGTTGGGATTTGTTTTCGGGGTCATTTTCGTAGCTGTTTAGTGATTAGGGGCCAAAAAGGGGCCAAAATCAAGCATTTTCATGTTTCAGGACAATGGTTTGTGTATAAGAATATGGATCTCTATCAAATTTTACCACAAAGTTCCATACTTCAAAATAAAAGTTGGGATTGGTTTTGGGGTTCATGGCCCAAACCGTATAATAATTAGGGGCCAAAAAGGGGTAAATAAAACTAGAATTTTCTGGTTTCCGGACAATAACTCGAGTATAAGTCTATGGATTGCTATTTAATTGTGTCACAAAGTGTTATACCATAAAATAAAGTTTGGGATTGATTTTAGGGATTATGACCCTAACGGTTCAGTTAAAAACAATACTTTTGTAATACTTTGTATAAATTGCTTATTTCTTTAGCAATTTCAATGGGGTTTAGTTCAAAATCTTGAATTCTTGGGGTCCTTTTATATGCTGAATCTAGTTGGGTATTTAGAATTTGGATTTTGGGTCCTGTTTTTGAATTGATCCATATTAAGGTCCAAAGGGTCTGAAATTAAACTTTAATTTCTTCAAAAATTAAATTATTTAGATTTTTTATTTTGGGACCGGTTTTCAAATTGGTCTACATTAAATTTCAAAAGGTCCAAAATGAAACTTTGTTTGATTTTAACAAAAATTGAATTCAAGGGGTTCTTTGATATGCTGAATTAAAAATGTATCAAGATTTTTTATTTTTGGCCCAGTTTTTAAGTTTGTCCAAATTGGGGTCCAAAGTTAAACTTTATTTGATTTTAACAAAAATTGAATATGTGAGGTTCTTTGATATGCTGAATATAACCATGTATTTAGATTCTTGATTTTGGGCCCAGCTTTCAAGTTGGTTGACATCTGGGTCCAAATTTTTTTTTTATTTCTTTGATTTGCTGAATCTAGATTATTAGTGTATTTCGATTTTTTATTTTAGGGCTTGTTATCAAATTGGTCAACATTGAGGTCCAAAGGGTCATAAATTTAACTTTGTTTGATTTCATCAAAACTTTAAATTCTTGGGGTTCTATGATATACTGAATCTAATCGTGTATTTAGATTTTGGACACTGCAAGACGACAAAAATGGCTGACATGGCTAAAGATAGAGCGTAGTTGTAAAATGCAATTTTTGTCTATTTTCTTGAAAACCGCTATAGATAGATATTTAAAGGGGCATTAGCTGTCAAATTCATGTTCACCGATTTGACTCAAATTCTCATATTTGATTTATAACATACTAAAACGTTTATCTAAATTATAAAAGTGTAAAATAAACAATTAACAATGCATGGGCACGATAAAATGTATCAGCATTTCGTGTGTATTTTAGTCTAGACGCCATTTAATTAACCATCGAGGTGACCTCCGAAGACTGCCGACGGTTATATAACCCGATATAAACATAAATATAGATATAAATATATAAATAGATAGCGGACTCGTGCAATTGGACTTTTCTAGGTCTGTTTGATTTCATATTATAGGTTAAAAATATATGTTAATCATCGTTTTTACCTGTATAAGAATGAATTTTTGTGAATCGAATCAGTCAATCAAATGGTTTACCCTTGTATCACTTTCAATGATGACACTTTTTTCCTTTTAATAACTGAACACACCTAATTCATGCGTAACCCATCTTTAGCTAAGGGGTTAAATTGAAGGTCACATGAATACGGATTCAATGAGGTCGAATTATTCACTTGCAAGTGAATAATTCATCAGCGATGTTCCTTAGCTTATTTTTGAGAAAATTGAACCAAACAGGCTGCTAAAAGCTAATTATTATTTCACTATTTCACTTTCATTAATGATTGAACCAAAAAAAAAATATATTTCATTTTTATGCCCCCGCCGTTCTCTAACTTGAGTTTGCCTAAACCAAATGTTATAAAACTTATACACAATGCTTATTACCACAAAATACAGATCAAGTTTGAATTTTGGTGGTGTCACTTTAACCGTTCTAGAGTTATGCACCTTTATGAATGGAAACATTCCAAAATTTTTAGTTTCCGTTCTCTAACTTAAGTTTGCCTCAACTAAATGTTATGAAACTTCTACACAATGCTTATTATCACATAATACAGATCAAGTTTGAATTTTGGTAGCGTCACTCTAACTGTCCTAGAGTAATGCCCCTTTATTAATGAAAAAATTACAAAATTTTTAGTTTCCGTTCTCTAACTTAAGTTTGCCTCTACCAAATGTTATGAAACTTATTCACAATGCTTATTACGACAAAACACAGATCAAGTTTGAATTTTGGTGGGTCTCACTTTAACCATTCTCGAGTTATGCCCCTTTATAAATGAAAAAAAAATGCAAAATTTTTAGTTTCCGTTCTTTAACTTAAGTTGCCTCAACCAAATGTTATGAAACTTATACACAATGCTCATTACCACAAAACACAGATCAAGTTGAATTTTGGTGGCGTCATTTTAACCATTATTCAGTTATGTCCCTTTATAAATCGAAAAATTGCAAAATTTTTAGTTTCCGTTTTGTAACTTAAGTTTGCCCCTACCAAACATTATGAAACCTATACACAATACTTATTACCACAAAACTCAGATCTAGTACAAATTTGGATAGCGTCACTTTTATTGTTTTTGAGTTATGTCCATTTAAAATGTTGTATGCAAGTGGGGGCATCATCTGTGTCCATGGGGACACATTTTCCATTTATTTTTATATATCTCGTAGCTAATGCCCCTTTAACATGGTCGTAAATGTTCAGAATGATGAGGGATTTAACTTTTGTGACATCAAAACTGTCAGACAACTTCTTACAGGGGTTATTGCCCTTAAACGACAAGTTTTACCAATTTTTTGCATTTTTGCCTATGATCTCGAAAATTATGATAGATAGAAAGACACTTAAATCGCAAAAAATTATGTTCAAGTCAAGATCAACAAATAAGTTAACATGACCGAAATCGTAAATCGACTCTTTATTGAAGTTATTGCCCTTTAATGACGATTTTTTTTCGTTTTTAACTCAAATGGTCCAAAGGGCCAAATGAGCTTTTCTCATCACTTGGAGTCCGTCGTCGATCGTCGTCGTCCGTCAAAAATCTTCTCTTCTGAAACTACTGGGCCTAATTTAACCAGACTTGGCCACAATCATCATTAGAGTATCTAGTTTAATAAATGTGTCCGATGATCCTGCATGCCAACCAAGATGGCCGATATGGCTAAAAATAGAACATTGGGGTTGTTTATTATTTTGAAACCCTTATAAATAGAGAAAATCTGATTGAGGCAGAAATGTACAGAATGTTAAGCTCTACCAATTGTCCGTTTACGTCAAAACTGTCGGGCGATTTCTTATAGGAGTTATTGCCCTTAAATGACGAGTTTTACCATTTTTTTCCCATTTTTGCCTATTATCTTGAAAACTATAATGGACAGAGAGAAACGTTAAATTGCATAAATGATAAACAGGACAAAATCTACAATTAAAACAAAAATGAAGGAAATTATTCGACGACTTCTAATTGGAGTTCTTGTCCTTTAATGACGATTTTTACCATTTTGTTTTGCGTTTTGCCATATATCTTAAAAATCAAATATATTAAATAGAAACTTTGAAAAACAAATATGATCAGCAAGAAGTCAAATTTTGCCGATATAGTTAGTAGACTGTCCCTCTTTATAGGAGTGATTGCCTTTAAATGAAGATTTGTTTACCCTCTTTTGTGTCTTTAGCAAAAACTAAAGAAGATAGAGAGAAACTAAACAGACAAAATCAGCAATACAAGATCAACAAAAAAGAGATTTTTTTCACGAGTTCTATACTCGTCTACAATGTTTGAGAGTGTCTTTTGTTGAATATGCACATAGACCAAAAGAGGGACGAAAGATACCAGAGGGACGGTCAAACTCATAGATCGAAAACAAACTGACAACGCCATGGCCAAAAATAAAAAGACAAACAGACAAATAATAGTACAGATGACACAACAAAGAAAACTAAAGACTAAGCAACACGAACCCCACCAAAAACTGGGGGTGATCTCAGGTGCTCCGGAAGGGTAAGCAGATCCTGTTCCACATGTGGCACCCATCGTGTTGCTTATGTTATTACAAATCCGGTAAATAGTCTAATTCGGTAGGTCACATTCGTGAAAAAGGAGGGTATTGTAGTTACGACATAAGGAACATATCCGATATCATCTCTGAAACGGTTATTCCAAAACGGTCAACCAACTCGTGATGGCGTCCGTAAAATTTACGAAGGGATGATTTCAACTTCACAATTTGGAACTCTTCGTTTAATAGCTTCCTTGTGAGCAGCAATCCTCTATCAAGGAAATCATGATAGGAAATACAAGCCCGGGAATATCGTATCAATTGGGAGATATATACTCCGTATGCAGGCGCTGCTGGAATGTTGCTACATAGAAATGGAAAGTTCACAATTGGGAAGCTGAAATCATCTCTTTTGTCGTAAAGTTTTGTTTTCAACCGACCCTCATTGTCAATTTCTAGATGTAAGTCAAGATATGAGGCAGACTTAACTGTATCTGTAGTATCCTTTATCTCTAGTTCGGTGGGATAGATTCGTTCAACATAGTCACCAAATTTTGTATTATTTAGTGAGAGAACATCATCTATATAGCGGAACGTAAAGTTAAAGGATATTGCTAACTCCAAAGTGAGCGACACCTTTGTTGAATATGCACATAGACCAAAGTGAGCGACATATGCTCTTTAGAGCCTCTAGTTTACTTTTATCTTGCAAACTGTAATAGATAGAAAAAAATAATCAGAAGCCAAGATGAACAAATAATTCTGCACGACCGAAATCGTTAGTCGACTCTTTATTGAAGTTAATGCTATTTAACGACGATTTTTCCGAGTATTTTGCATTTTTTCCTGTTTTCTTGAAAACTATAATAGAAAGGTAGAGGCAAAACTGATCAACAAGACAAGATCTACAAACAAGCGGTCATGGCCGAAATCTTCAGTGGACTTGTTAATGGAGTTATTGCCCTTTAATGATAATTTTTACCATTTTTCATTTGATATTTTGCCTATTATCTTGAAAACTATAATAGATAAATAGAAACTTTATATAGGAAAAATGATCAGCAGGATAAGATCTACAATATACGTCAACTTGACGGAAATTGTCAGTTAAGTCTTAATGGGTTATTTCCCTTGAATGGTGATTTTTTTTAACTAAAAAGAGGCCATTGTTGAAGATGCAGGTGAGCGTACACATGTCTATAGAGCTTCTAGTTCAAATCCCGTGCGATACAACAGTATATATGCTTACTTTAACTCCTCGCTGAAGTCCATATTAAATTCCAAATGCCTAAGCCAAAAGCTTCACAAGGGATTCAGAAAAGGTACTGCAATTAAGTGAGGCAGCTAGAGCAACATCTTCATCAGTCATACAACAAATGTGCCGATGGAAATCAAAGGCATTACAAAATTACCTAAGAATTAATATCTTTTGCAAAAGGTTAGATTTGCCAAATAAATTTTTTATTTCATTTTCGCATTTTCTTGGTTCAGGTAAACTTGGCTTCCTATATTTTTAGGAATTTTCTCTTTATTGCATAATTAAATTCATTTAGAGTAGAATTACCCCTTTTATGTGATTATTAATAGAAGTCAACAGGGTTTGTTTTTTTTAATTTTTTTTTTAGCATTTTCTGATAGTAAGATAATGTTGTAATGTATTATATATATGGTTTTTAGTCCCCTACCGACGAAGTCGAAGGGAACTCAAGGTTTGCACGACGTCTGTCTGTCTGTCTATCCGTCAGTCCGGCAAATCAGTTTTCCACACTTTTTTCTTCGTGCTTGAAGATATTGATTTGATATTTTGTATATAGTTTAATCATGACCAGTTACAGATCAATTTTGAATTTTGTTGTCTAATAATTTTGTGCAGAGTTATGGTCCTTGGTCTTCAAAAATTCGCGCAAGTAATCTATTTTTCCGAACTTTTTTTCGTCATGCTTATATGAATATACGAACCAAAAAGACAAAAACCTAAGGGAATCAAATCGCATGAACTGCAAACGGATGTTAAGAGTGAAACAGTGTATGGTCTTGTGCTATGCATCCAGACTCGGTAAGAAAAGTCACAATATGGAAATGAACAAAATTGGTAAATTCTCATTTCCCTAGATCAAAAACTGCGAAAACATGTCTGTTTGAGTAAGACCACAGACACATCTTATATGTCTAATTCGAGACGCTAAAAAAAGATAGTTCAAAACAAAGAGAGAAAACTGTCTAACAAGCAATAGACATACGTATTTTAATTGTGAACTATTCAGAAAATCAAAAAACTGAAGCAAGCATGGAAGCAAATTTAGGACCTCCCTAAAAAATTGATTTCGAGATCACGAATTGTTTAATTTATAATCATAAATTAAATTCGTAATAATTATTCCGAGGAACTATTCACACAAATTGCTATAATTTGTGATCACGGATAAAAGTCGTAATAACAGATTGTTATAATTTGTAACGACCAATTAAATTTCCTTATTCACAAACTTTTAAAATCATCATCATATATTTTATTATTCTTTACCACGGATTTAATCCGCCATAACAAATTATACAACTGATGATAACGATTTTTTTTTCTTTATCGCGAATTTTTTAATTTGTGATCTCGAGTTCAAATCATATTTGAGAAATGTTTTCAATCGGATTAGGTACGTCGTAACGACTTTTAAAATTTGTGATCACAATTTTTTCAACTTTAAAATTGTGTGATTACGAATTTTAAAAAAATCAGTGAGAACTAATTCTACAGGTTCTTTATTCCGCGCTGAAGAATCATATACTGCGTGGTAAGTCTTATTCATAGTATTTTTTTAACATGTTGATTAATATGTAAGGTTATCGTATGTATTTAAATAAAACCAGATTTTTTAGAATTCTATAACTTAAATTGTAGGATGATCATCCAGAAATTGCAGAGTCAGCAGTTGTAGGATTTCCTCATGAAATAAAGGGTGAAGGTAATTTAATTTCAATTTTTGAGTCGTTTAATCTTAATCATCGATGCCACGATTCTGAATAAAAGAAGTGTGGAAGAGTTGCAGGAAATATGAAACATAACTATAATCATCTCTCCTCAATTTTTCACATATAATTTGTCATTTAGTGGAAAAAATAAATAAGTTTTGAAAGGATTGTTTCTATGTTAATTAGATATACTTGCTAAGGCCAATTAAAATGAATTGATAGATTTTCATCCACGCCCGCCCCTCTGAAATTGTCCCGCCCCGATTTTTTTAATTTTAGAAATTTGCGATTTCCGGATTGAATGGAAGATAAATGATTTCTTTCAGCAAATAACATGATTTTCTTCTTTTTGAGATGATTATCTGGTCTGATAGGAATAGGATTCCAGTTACAGGATACCAGTCCAGTACCCACGAATGATGTCCCTTAATTAATCTACCATCTTTTAAATGAGATATTGTACCGAGATGAAAATTATGTAAAGATGCTTAAAATTGTAGTATATCTAAAGGGTATGCATTAAACTTTCAACTTCTGTTAAATTTTAAGTGATTCTGAAATGATTGTCTGAGTAAATGGTCCAAATTTTATTTTCGCTTTTAACCAGGAAGTTAATAGAATGACCCTATTAATACTCAAAACAGTATTGCTCTCTTAAATGCCGGTCATGACCCTCTAAGAATTCTCCAAGAAACAATGAAGGGGGCTACTAGTATGAGAAAGTAACTGAAATTTTGCAGTCTAATATAGGGAATAAAAAAACTGCCCCTCAATTTGGATAAAATTGCATTGAAGTAATGGGGGAAATAATTAGGTCCCCATTCCATTTCGTTTCATTCAAAACTTCCTGTTTCAAGTTTCGGTTTTCGTATTTCTTCGAGTAATATAAGTCGACATCTTCTTCTGGTCAATGATGAGAACATTATCTTCTGAGAATATAGATTGATTACTAGAAGGGTATGAAATATTCGGGTTACGAGTAATAGTCAGTGTCCAGGAACGCTAATCGCGGTATGTCACAAATTTCAGTGAATAGAAAACCATGGATTTTTATGCCCCCGCCGTAGCGGTGGGGGCATTAAGGTTTACCTTTGTTCGTCTGTGCGTATGACGTACGTACGTACGTCCCAAAATTGGTTTCCGTTCTCTAACTTGAGTTTGCCTCAACTAAATGTTATGAAACTTATACACAATGCTTATTACCACCAAACACAGATCAAGTTTGAATTTTGGTGGTGTCACTTTAACCGTTCTAGAGTTATGCCCCTTTATAAATGGAAAAATTGCAAATTTTTTAGTTTCCGTTCTCTAACTTAAGTTTGCCTCAACCGAATGTATGAAACTTTTACACAATGCTTATTACCACAAAACACAGATCAAGATTGAATTTTGGTGGCGTCACTTTAACCGTCCTTTATAAATGGAAAAATTGCAAATTGTTTAGTTTCCGTTCTTAAACTTTAGTTTGCCTCAACCAAATGCTATGAAACTTATACACAATGCTTATTACCACAAAACACAGATCAAAAATGAATTTTGGTGGCATCACTTTAACCGTTCTTGAGTTATGCTCCTTTATAAATGGAAAAATTGCAAAATTTTTATTTTCTTCTAAATATCAAGTAATTTTTAAAATTGGAGTTATCTTCCTTTGTCCATGATTATAGTTGAATCAACTACAATCAATGCTTTATACAATGCAATGTTCAATTTTGACTGCCACTGATTTAACACAGATCAAGTTGAATTTGGGTAGTGTCACTTTAACCATTATTGAGTTATGCCCTTTATAAATCGAAAGATTGCAAAATTTTTAGTTTCCATTCTGTAACTTAAGTTTGCCTCAACCAAACATTATGAAACCTATACACAATATTCATTACCACAAAAAACTAAGATCAAGTACAAATTTTTTGTTTCCGTTTTCTAACTTTAGTTTGCCTCAACCAAATGTTATGAAACTTATACACAATGCTTATTACTACATAATACAGATTAAGTACGAAATTTGGTGGCGACACTTTTACCGTTCTTGAGTTATGTACCTTTATAAACATAAAAATTGCTGAATTTTTTAGTTTTGTCTCAACCAAATGTTATAAAACTTATACACAACCGTTCTAGAGTTATGAGTGTTTACAAATAGAAAAATTGCTGAATATTTAGTTTCTGTTCTCTACTTAAGTTAGCCTCAACCAAATGTTATGAGACTTACACTAAATGCTTATTACCACAAAACTCAGATCAAGTTCAAATTTGGGTAGCGTCACTTTTACTGTTCTTCAGTTATGTCCCTTTATAACTATATGATATGCAAGCGGGGGCATCAGGTGTGTCCACATGTGGACACTATCCACATTTATTTTATTTATACAATGACTTTATGTCAGGAAATTTGGACTGTGAATGATATCCAAAGCGCAAAAATCGTGGAAAATATTGGTACAAAAATATGACTGGAATAAAATAATTGACACAAGCACGAACTTGTGCGATTTATGACCGTATATTGAGTACAAAGAGTCGGCCAACGTACAAAAAGTATTATAGCAAGCCCTTAGATTTACCCCAAGGCTGTCGCTTTTGTTGAAAAACAGCAAACACCCTCTGTCCGCTGCCCCTCAATAGAGTCATTAAACAACTTTCTCTTTTTGGTTCAGTTCATGTTTTACATTGTAATTATATTTGCACATTGCATACATGTAAGAATCTTAAAAGCATCAGTACTGTCAACACAGTTTGAGTTTTAATTTCACTCTGTACTCATAATATTTTTATTGCATACCAATGCATATGCTTCATTTTATGGGCACTACAAATCATAGCTTAGAAAGCAAAATAAATTTGATCTAGGTAAGTGTAAAAGAGAAAATTTCTCTACGTTTTTGTCGAGCCTGCGACTTTTGTCGCAGAAAGCTCGACATAGGGATAGTGATCCGGCGGCGGCGGCGGCGGCGGCGTTAGCTAACTTCTTAAAAGCTTTATATTTTAGAAGGTGGGAGGTCTGGATGCTTCATACTTTGTATATGGATGCCTCATGTTACGAAGTTTCCGTCAGTCACATGTCCAATGTCCTTGACCTCATTTTCATGGTTCAATGACTACTTGAAAAAAAAGTTAAGATTTTTTGTAATGTTAGATTCTCTCTTATTATAAGTAATAGGATAACTATATTTGGTATGTGCGTACCTTGCAAGGTCCTCATGCCCGTCACACAGTTTTCACTTGACCTCGACCTCATTTCATGGATCAATGAACAAGGTTAAGTTTTGGTGGTCAAGTCCATATCTCAGATACTATAAGCAATAGGTCTAGTATATTCGGTGTATGGAAGGACTGTAAGGTGTACATGTCCAACTGGCAGGTGTCATCTGACCTTGACCTCATTTTCATGGTTCAGTGGTTATAGTTAAGTTTTTGTGTTTTGGTCTGTTTTTCTTATACTGTATGCCATAGGTCTACTATATTTGGTGTATGGAATGATTGTAAGGTGTACATGTCTAGCTGGCAGGTGTCTTCTGACCTTGACCTCATTTTCATGGTTCAGTGGTCAAAGTTAAGTTTTTGAGTTTTGGTCTTTTTTTCTAATACTTTATGCAATAGGTCATCTATATTTGGTGTATGGAAATATTTTATGATATACCTGTCAGTCTTGCAGGTTTTATTTGACCTTGACCTCATTTTCACGGTTCATTGCTCAGTGTTAAGTTTTTGTGTTTTGGTCTGTTTTTCTAATACTATAAGCAATAGGGTCAACTATATTTGTTGTATGGAAGGATTGCAAGCTGTATTACATGTCTGCCTGGCATTGTTCATCTGACCTTGACCTCATTTTATTGGTTCATTGGTCAATGTTTAGTTTTCTTGGTTAAGTCTGTATCTTAGAAACTATAAACAATAGGTCAACTATATTTAGTGTATTGAATGATTGTAAGGTGTACATGTATTTCTTGTTTGGTTTATATGACCTTGACCTCATTTTCTTGGATCATGTTAAGTGTATGTGATAGTTGTATAAAGCTTTATATTTAGGACTATCAACATAATATCAATGGTTAGTAAAGAAGGCGAGACATTTCAGCGTGTGCACTCTTGTTACTATTTACTAAAAATAGGTTTCTAAATGCAGCAATTACATGTAGAACAGTGGTTGCCAATCAGAAATATTAATTAAAGAATTTGAAAAATAATGTAGAATTCCTTATATTTACATGATATAAGCTTGTTATTACCCTTGTATATTAACAATACGTCAGAAAAGGGTTTAGCAGGAAATAACAATTAAAAAATAAAATCCTCCCACCCGCCCCATTTAAAAAAAAAATCTGGATGAAAATCTACTAATTTTAGTTGGCCTTGTACACATTTGCTCTTTAACGGTACTACAAACTATCGATACCTATATTTTGGCATTACACCAGGTCATGTTTTTCTCTGACTGTTAATGACGTTTTTACACTAAATCAGTTCGATGTTGGATGTGTACTGATTGATATTTCAGTCTTAGATACATGATTTTTATGCCCCCGCCGTAGCGGAGGGAGCATTAAGTTTTACCCTTGTCCGTCTGTACCTCCGTATGTACGTACGTACGTCAGTCCGTACGTCCCAAAATTGGTTTCCATTCTCTAACTTGCGTTTGCCTCAACCAAATGTTATGAAACGTATACACAATGCTTATTACCACAAAACACAGATCAAGTTTGAATTTTGGTGGCGTCACTTTTACCGTTCTAGAGTTATGCCCCTTTATAAATGGAAAAATTGCAAAATTTTTAGTTTCCGTTCTCTAACTTAAGTTTGCCTCAACCAAATGTTATGAAACTTATACACAATGCTTATTACCACAAAATACAGATCAAGTTGAATTTTGGTGGCGTCACTTTAATCATTATCGAGTTATGCCCCTTTATAAATCGAAAAATTGCTAAATTTTTAGTTTCCGTTCTGTAACTTAAGTTTGTCCCAACCAAACATTATGCGACCTATGCAC